GGCATTAAGGTGTTGTTGTTTTTTGAAGAAAAAAAATATCTTCAGACATCTTATTGTTGCGCGACGCAACACATGCGCAACACTTTTTATCTCGCAACTGTTTATTTTTCAAAAGTTTCCGGATTAAAAAACATTTGCGTATGTTCTTCTTGGCGCAACACTTGTTTTGTCTCTTTCTATGTCTTCCAACCTCTTATTCTTCTTCTTTTTTTTTGCTAAAATATTGATTATATATTATTGAAATCTTATTTCATTTTTTTTTGTTTTGGTTTATTCTTGTTGAATTTTTTCTATATTGAATAATAATAATTTGTTGATGAAATATCATTATTTTATGCTAAAATATCTTTATTTTTTTTGTTAAAATATCATTATTTTTTTGCTGAAATATCATAATTTTTTGCCGAAATATCATACATTATTAAATTTTCGAATTATAAAATCAGTTTATTTTAATTTTTTAAATGCAGATGTTAAAAAAAAAACAAACATACTTCTTATTACAGTCTGCAGCCTTTTGGTCAACCTCTTCTACTGTAGCGGGTTGCAGAGGTAGTCCCCAGACTTTATGGATTTTTGTTTCAAAGAAACAAACAGCACCTAAGACTATCCTATTCAAGATACTAAATTTTAAAATTCATAATAAATTACCAAAATACCCTTCTTCACCATAATAGGTTGTAAATTACTTTTCATACACTTAACTTATATGTATAACTCATAACACTTATATTGTTAGTTAGAATTAAGATTTTACACTGGACAAAACAAAAATAATAAAAAAAATAGACTAAAGTGTTTGTTTTTCGTCTGTAGATCTTTTTATATTCTTCTGTCTGCATCGTACAGACCACGCTTAGACATTAGGCTTCACAGACTGTTTATTTTTTTAAAGACTACAGACTTAAAAAGGTCTGTGTGTCCTCTTCTTGGCGCAGATGCAGACCAAAGTCTTCAAACATCTTCTAGTCTAATATTATATATATATATATATATATATATATATATATATATATATATATATATATATATATATATATATATATATAATGCTGTAAAAATCCCGATTAGGTCCCGATTAATCCTTAGGTGCTAGTTGACCGATTATAGGGCGCATAACGATTAATACCTGAATATAAAATGAGTAAAGTAGTAGAACCTGATAAATTTTTAATACTTTAAAGAAGTTATTTCACAATAGGAACTATTTGATGTATCATTAGTGTTGTATTAATCATATTAACTTATTTTGTTATGATTCTAGTGATATTTTCGAGCTGCTTATATGATATTAGGCATATCATATAAGTTAATCCTGAAAACTTCAAATAGTCAAAACACAAAATGATAAACGGTAAAATGATAAATTTAGGATTAGATCGGATCCCAATTCTACGATCCTACCCAAATACGATGTGTATATGATCCGGCTCGTTTTTTTTTCTTACCTAGGATCGTACGATCCTACGTTCAAAATCGTGATTTTGACAACCTAGTATTATTGCATTCCCTAGTGTTATATCTTGTTTTCAGCACTTGGGTTAGTGTTATATATGTTTGTTCATAACCATTCATTGTTTGAGTAAAAGAGTTTTGATGTTAAGCACCGTGTCAATTAGTGTTCAACTACATGGTAAAAAGTATATGGGCATTATAGTTATGCTATCGAGCTTTAAAACAAAATCTATGTGGAGTTAACATTAGTGGGATATCGGTTAAAGGTCAAACCACATGATGAAAGTTGTTAATTATACAACACAATCGATGCTTGAGAGTCTGATAACTCAAAATACGACTACATGGTCAACAAGTATATCATTCAATTTATCGGTTGTAAGTTGGCTAAATATAATAGTATTATTAAGTTTGGGATCATTTGGCTGGATTGTACACCCAATTGAATTTTTCAAAACAATATCAGTAGAGACATATTCCTGATTTTGAACATAACGATATAAGCATTCAAGATTGTATGCCAATGTAGCTGAAATATGAGATTAGTTGGTGCTAACGGAATCCATTGAGTTGCACTCATTTGCCCCATATATTACTACTGGTGAATAAAATTATTTGGTATAATTCCTAATGGCTGTTTGATTTAATCTAAGGGATTGCATGAGACAATTCATCATCATACCTCTTCCATCTGTTGACTCTATGGTCAATGAATTGTTATTAAACGAGATTAGTCTTAAGTTTCATATCAATAATGGTCTAAACCATCTATTACTCCTGTTATTTTTGTAGCTCCACAATGATCTCAACCTAATAATTACACAGATCCTGATGCTAACGTTGCCATGGATAAATTGTTAGGGTTTAAGGAGTTCGACAAATAACAAATGATTTCATTATGAGTAATAATGCAAAAACAAAGAATAAGAACACAAACAATTTATGTGGTTTACACGATCATCGATTATGTCCACAGGAGAACACGAGAGAAAATTTTATTATTTCTGCCAAACAACTTGAGTGATGTAGGTTACACGAATTCAAGGAACATAAATACTAGGTTACACAATCATCAGGGTGCTGCCTTAGCTCCCGCAAGGAGCCACTCCCCCTTGATCTACTTCCGCTCTTTCAGGAGTGATATCCCATGCTTGGTTTGCCTAACAACTACTTTTGTTGACCAATTAATCCTGCTAAGACTGATTAATTCATAATTTCCATCAAACACGTTAATCGTAATCGATTGGTGGTCGTTAAACCATTAATTCTGATTTCTACAACCATGCTAAATGTTTAAAATAAAATTATATTTTATTTTATGGGATCTTAAAGATCCATAATACCATCATGAGTCCCACATGTTGACAACCTTATAGCAATGATCTATTAGGATGGATGCTAGGCTAGATGCCCAAAATCTCATGTGCTTGTAGGGTGTATACGCTCATAAACTTCCCAACAAGAATAATGCGACGCATCCTAGTCATTTTTTAAACAGCTTTCAAAGTCCCACACGTGTAAAAAGCAAAGTTAGTTTATAGGTTTCTTCCTACAGTTTTTTTTTTCTTGTTTTTTCTTTTCAATACTTATTTCTATTCTTCTATTCTTTTTCTTTTATGTGCATTCATGTACACTTTTTTGGAGATGAAACTGCAATGAAACTAAACCAATATGCAAAGTAAAAGCCAACAAAAGGTATTATTAAAGTATAGATTTAATTTGAAGTGGTAACAAACCGTTAAAACCAAAATAAATATTTAAAAAGAAAAAAAAAAAGATACACAAATGACAAAACCCATCCTCTTTTTTATCTTTTTTGATATGATATTCTCTCTTTTTTTTTTGTTTTGATAAATAACATTTTTTAAAAAGAAAATATAAATAAAAAAGGAAAGAAATCATCACAAAGGACTAAAAGGCTCAGGAAGGGACTCAAACCCATGATCAAACAAAAGAGCTTCATCAGTAGTCTTGTCATCCGCAGTATGCAACCAGCTTGTGTTTTTAAGGTCTTCTTTGAGTAAAATAGCATCGTATCTTGAACTCTCATACATGTCAACTTCCGATGATAGTTTAGAAGAATGTGGGCTTTGATCTTCCATGGGCCCACCACCTCTGTTCCATAAATACCCATTATTACTGTAATTCCCATTTTCAGATCCACCGCCATCTACAGAACTTGCACGTGTAGCTGTAGGGTGGGCCCTGGAGTTGCTTGACCGAATGCTTTGTGGGAAAAGCGTTGACCCTGAAAGTGGTCGTACACCTCCATTTCTTATATCCTGTTACACATTTTAAAACATACCAATATTAATTAACATCTATTTATAAAAACTAAAAAGAGTATTTATTGATTTATTCAATATTCATACCATATGTTTAATCGCCATATCCAGTGATTTCTTCGAGATATTCCTCCCAAATCCTGTTCCATTTTCCGAATTCGATGACTTTACTGGTTTCCTTGTTACTGACTGTGGCAAATGAGAAGTTCTTCGTGGATCCAAACTCTCAACAACATTCCCATTAGAATTAGGACGCGACCTTCCGCTTCCGGAAGGTTCCGGAAGCCGTCCCCTAATCACATTAGGGGACGAATGTCTTCTCGTGATGGTCCCACCTCCGGTGTTTGAATTGTCTAAATTACCCTTCACGGTAGTGGACCCACCTGGTCTTGACCTACCAGCAGACAGAGGTCGATCCGGTAAAGTTGTTCTAAGATTCGGCGGCGTTTCATGAGGGAAATCAATTATATTCATAGGCTGAGGTGGCGGGCGTACACGTGGACTAGGAGAACTCGGTCTTGAAGTGGACCCCACAGCACTACTATTACTACGTCCATTTGAAGTCAACCCACGTGAGGCTGAAGTCAAAGATGAGGTGGATGGGGTGAGAGAAGGTGTTAGGGTTCTACGTGTAGGGGTTGATGACCTGGAAGGTGGGCGAATTGTAGGTGAAGGTGTCAAGCTTCCAGGTGTTTGTGGTCTTGAAGTAGGTGTTGAAGGTCTTGTGTTTTGTCTTATTGGGGTTGGGGTGGGGGTTGGGGTAGGGGGGGCGGGTTCTAGAAGGAGTTGAAGTTCTTGAAGGGGTTGTTCGGGTAGATGGGGTAGAAGGTCTTGCAGTTTTGGTAGGAGTAGAAGGTCTTATATAAGAAGATACAGAAGCAGAGCTTGTGTTTAAAATGTTGGTGTTTCTGCTAGAATAGTTTGTATATTGTGTGGTGGAGATGGAGGATCGAGTCACTGAACTGCTTCTTGCAGGTCTTGAAGGATGATTGGTCTCAGATTGAGATACAGATAGCTGTAATTCAGGGACATTGATGAAGATGATGATGGTGAATGATTATCCTAGAATGAGATCATGGTAGTAGAATTAGAAAAGAAAACTAACCCTTGAAGTTTTGTTTATGGAGCTTGATCTTACTGAAGACTTGCTTCTTGCAGTGACACGTGCAGGTTGTTGAGACTCTTTTCCATCCAAAGAAGGAAAGAGAGGAGTTCCTGGGGGAGTTAGAAGCCTGTTAACACAAAAGGTAATGCTTCATATTTGTAATTCGAAACTTATGGTTTCAGAAATTAAGAAAAGAGATAGAAGCAGTTTTGTTACGTTCTTAAGTGTAAGTGTAAGAGATGATATCAGGTAATTAATGAGAATTCATGGAAAATCAATCGACAAACACAATAATTGGAAACGGGGAGTTAAGTAGTATACTGGTGTATAGAACAGGAGGGTATCTATTAGTACACAGCTGGAATCAGATGGAAGATGTAAGTAATCTACCAACAAGATAATGTGATTTGACAGATCTGTCATTTAATACATGTGATTCTGGAAAAGAATGAAGCTAGATCTGAGCTAAAAGCGAGATCATGGAGTTACTAGAAATCTTACCAATCGTAGTCATTCTTTCCCCCTTCGTTAGAATTCAGAAGATCATCTAATATGCTTTTGGCAGGTTTTGCTGATCCAACTGAAAGTCTCGCTAATCTCGCTTGCACTGTAGAAAATTTCAATTAAGAAGAAGAAATTGTTATGTAAAACAAATAATCGTAGTGATTAAAGAAGTGGGAACAATCGGAACGTTAACATAAATCCAAAGAAGAAGCATATTATAGGGGCAAAAAGTTAAAAGTTTATTGCAAATCCAAACTAGTCAAGCAAAATCCTAACATAAACGACATCGTTTTCCAGGATTCATCCCCAAAATACTTCAGCTATCGTTTTCAAATTGCGCTTTCTCGTCACAAAACCATATCATGCTTTTACAACTCCGACAGGAAATCGTATAGAATACATGAAGCATATGAATCAAGTTTAAGTACCAGAACTTAGAAAACAAAAAAAAAAGGTAAACGTACAGTCCGATTCGTCGGAAGAGGCGGCTGGGAGACTAGTGCGACTACGAGAGAAGAGATCCATGTTGTTGCTGCTGTTGAAATTCTCAGATGCGTTGTTTTTTGTGAAAGACATTCCTCGCCGGTGAGACAATATTCCGTTGGTCATAGCATTATGATTGTTGCTATGATTATGATTCCGACCTCCGGCACCGACCATAGAGTCCTTCGATGAACTCCGATTCATCATGATACACCAATAAAAACTAGGAATTCATGTGATAAACTCTGGAAAACAGATAGAAAAAGAGAGTCGATGAGGTTGCTTGGCTCGTGCAAGATTTACGTCAGAGAGAGAGAGAGAGAGAGAGAGAGAGAGAGAGAGAGAGAGAGATCTGGTTGACGGAGTAGATGAGTGAAGTTTACGAGCAGCCATGTGACTATTTCATCCATCCACCTTCCATTCCACTGTATCAATTTTTATTTTATTTGTTTAAATCCAATCCATCTTCAAATCGGATCTACTTATAGTTACATTTAAATTATATTATAATAAAAAGTACATGTGTAAAAAGATATTTGCTTTATTACGTTTCATAATTTTATTATAAACAAAATTATTTGTTGTGTAACATTTTGTGCATTTCTTTTTTTAATGTTTGTGTTTCTAGATTAATTCAATGAGCGAAATAAAAAGTCCGGTGTGTTATGTGAAACCATTGAATTCAATTTTTTTAAAATATAGCCTACCAAAACTCCAGTAGACCATAAATGAGAATCTAAACTATGTGATCACTTGTAGTAATTGGTAAAACTAGTTCAAGTTATTTAAAGCTTATGTGGTCCTTATATGAGAAAAAAATAATAAATTAGAGAAAACATCTTTTACGAAAACATTTGGAATTACATGAAATTATGAAAATTTACAAAAAACAAACAAATATATCTAACATAATAATAGTTGGTTGTATGAGATAGCAAATTAAATTAATAAAAATACATAAATAGCATGTATTATATATGTAACGATTGTAAAAAGGGTTGAAACCACATAAACTTGACACTGTCATCAAATCTTATTCATAAGATCAGTCGGTGTATTCTCATTGCATAGCGATAGTATCTTCAACTATTGTATTTACTCTATCGATGTTTTGACCATATACAACATTCTAGCAACTACAAGATTCCCCTTCATTACTGTCCATTGGTGATTTCCAAAGTCAACATGGTATCCTTCGACATCCAATTGACCCACTAATACCAACTTTCTTTTCAGATTTGGAATGTACTTGACGTTTTTCAACATCCCATACAAACCTATGGTTGTCTTTAGGACAAAATTGCCAACTCCTGTGATATTTAGGCTTTTGTGATCGACAATTCGTACATCACCGTCGTAATGCTTGAAATTATGCATCACGTTTTTACAATGACTCATGTGAAACAAGGCATCACATATACACAAGCAAATAAGGACATCATCAAAATCTTCTTCTATGTTAACTTCCTTCTTCCCTTTCTTGGTCGAAGGTTTTGGGAATTGATTTTTTAGGTGTTCGTTCTCTTTGCACTTCTAGCAAGTAATATCCTTCTTGCTTTGAGATTTCCTTATCCACCCGGATTTCCATATCCCCCTTGAAAGTTATACACAATCCAATAAATAAGATGTATTTATAGTGAGTAGTTACATTGACCTAAAATTTTGGGTTAGGCCAATAAGCCTCTGACACACACACGTAAAATCAAACTTGTTCTCCAAGATAAGAAAGTCAATATTGAAGCTCTAACTAAAGTTGTTTTGTTGTCACTCAGGAATGGAGCTTATCGGAACTCCACAATAAAGACTCTTTTAGACAACTCTAAATCACAATAGAGACTCTATGGACAACTCCGGGTCGAAGCTTTAACACTAAAACCCTATGCTTCATAACCTTTGACCAAGACTGCGCTCTTTGTTACGCCCTACGTCGGAGTTGTTACAACAACTTCGCCTTCACCCTTTCGGTTAGACTCCACATCTCAACATCCATATCATCCCATTTCACTTATATATACACTATTTATCATTTTTTATATTCTTTGTAGTTTGAAAATAATAACAATGCAATAGTTATATATGAAATGTTTTCCCCAAAATTAAAACTTAAAATTTTGATCTTTTTTGGAGATTTTGAAGAAAAAATAGATTGTGTTATAATGTGTATGAATTGTGTTCTTATGCATATAGTCGAATATGTCTGACCCTTTCGCATTACTTAATGGAATTTCCACGCCTAATACAATATTTTGATATGTGCTCAAGTTAGTAGCAATCTAATAGTGCCTTTTAAAGAATCGATGAACTAACATTGATTTTTAAAATAAGACTTTGTTTTAATACTTACCCTCCTATATTAATATGATGCATTTGTATATCTTTTAACAACTTACTTATGTTTAATAAAACACTCTCTAAATATTACTTCATGGTATTTCAAGACCATTTATATGCGTCGGGGAATTATTTACACTCGTATTCTTTAAGAGATTCCACTTTTTGATATATTTTTAGATGGGATATCGGTCCTTTGGAAATACTCTATTAGATAATGTGTAGTTGACACACATTCTACTTGATTCATTGATTATTTTCACCAAGGTTAGTTGCATATTCCGATGAGAATGTCCCCTTCAGATATTATCTTATACCAAATTTTACAACATCCAATATTGCTTTGCAAATTTTCGTTGCCACTTTTATTTTCTTATTTGGGATGATTTATGGTTAGTCTTTGCTTAACTATCTACATTCATGCATCCATCATGTTCATTGCTTGACTTGCAAATACTTGGATGTTGAACTTGTCAAGATGTGTTTCTCATTTCCAAAATAGATGAATGTTTTATTTCATTTAGCTCTCAATATCTAGTTTAATAGGTGTTGGTAGTGAACTCCATATTCTTTCCGATTTCTCAAGGTCAGGGCCGGTCCAGACGGTGGGCAACCCGAGCGACCGTCCAGGGCCCACGTATCTAGGGGGCCCACAATTTTTGGGCTATGTAGTGTATATATATAAAAAATATTACCTAATTGGTTTTAAGCCCTAAAGCTAGTTCAAACTCAAATTAGCTCAAAATATAAACAATTTAGTTTGTTTGTTATTGTTAATTGAACAAGTCTATAGTGAATATTAAATGATTTTTTTTTGAATCTTTATGATATTTGTCCTTGATGGACCTTTTTTTCTTTTCGTCCCGGGCCCCATATACGTTTGGACCGGCACTGCTAGAGGTATAAGTCATTGATCACTCTATTTTTCTTCCTTTCCATTGTCAGCATCTACTTTTGGTCTTTCATTTCGATTATACACACACACACACACACACACATATATATATATATATATATATATATATAACTGCTAGAGGTATAAGTCATTGATCACTCTATTTTTCTTCCTTTCCATTGTCAGCATCTACTTTTGGTCTTTCATTTCGATTATACACACCCACCCACACACACACACACACACACACACACATATATATATATATATATGTGTGTGTGTGTGTGGGTGGGTGTGTGTGTTATTTAGCTACATTTTTCTCTTGCCGGAGGCATGCTATCTAGCATAGCCATCCCCATCCCCAAGGCTCTTGTGTAGAACGTAATCTATTAGAAGTGCACGAATTTCATATAACTCATGATAAGTTATGCAATCAATACATCTTTCTGTTCAAGTATATTATAATAAAACAACTTGTTACATTATAAATGTCATCTATGTTAGATTAAATAAGGGTTTTGGTGGAAATCCGAATTCCCAATGAATCGTGTAAGGTCACTTTCCGAATTGGTATTTCTATCTTATGCCCGACTTATAAGAAATCCAGTATAGGATAATCCAAATGGAGACGCATGAATCTAGGAACAAAAATGTAAGCCAAATTGCTAGACAATTCTAAGACTGCTTAGAAGATAGATAGATAGAGAGAGAGAGAGAGATGAGAAGGTTGTAATACGACTCAAATAGGAGAGTCGTATATATACTTGGTGATTAGGGTTTTCGTCTATTGAATTGGTTAAGTAAATCAGGAAATTAATGACATAATCAATGATTTCCACAATGGACGAGATCTGTAAATATTACTTCCCAATATTCAATACTATTTAAATGAAATTTTAATAGACTAATTTAAACAAGCTCATATAAAGGGTGTTTCAGGACCATTTATATGAGCCGGGAGATTATTTCCATTCGTTTACTTTAAGTGATTCAACTTTTTGATATATTTTTAGTAGGGGATATCGGTCCTTTGGAAATACTCTATTAGAGTATGCATAGTCGACACACATTCTTTTTGATTCATTGTTTATTTTTACGAAGGTTAGCTGCATATTCTTATGAGACTGTCCCCTTCAGGATATTGTCTTCTACCAAATTTTAAGACATCCACTATTGCTTTGCCCAATTTCATTTCCACTTTTATTTTCTTACTTGGGATGATAGATGGTTAGTCTTTCTTTGACTATCTCTCTGAATTAGCCAATGACTCTACCCCTATAACCCCGCAAGGGGGTGCGACCCCATTGATCCTCGCTATTTTGTGGTACCGACTTATCATTCGATCTTATATATGTGTGTACACCTGTAACATCCAAAAATTCACAAAAACTTTAAAATTTTAAAATAATCCCAAGTCATCACTTGTTTACAAAATAATTTTCCAAAAAATTTTAATTATCAGAGTATTCCCAAAATCATAAACAAAACATGAGGAGGTGCACGATCAAGCCTTCGCCTTCCCACGATCATCTGAGGTACCTGAAAGATAACCCAAAACTGTAAGCCCAAATCTTAATGAGTTTCCCCCAAAATACCAACACAACACAAAACAAGAACAATAACAATAAACAACATGCATACAGAGCCTTCAAACTGATAGGAACGCCCCACCGGCCTATATTCAACCTGGTACGCTCATAGAATATTCAGCATGACTGGTACGCCACATCGGTGATGGGTTTTGTGTACTCTAACATTCCTATGGTGCACATATAACCCTAAAGCTTTGGATCTAAGTTTTCTCTAATTATACATGCAACATTGTTGTTCCAAAGCATAAAGCCTAAACTAGCATGCAAGGTAACATTTGAATCATAAAAAACAGTTAGAAGATTACCTTGTGTAGTAGCTTGCTTGTCTTTGACCTTGTAACATCCATAAAAATCATGCCAAATTTAAACTTTTTAAAACATTTAGAAACCAACAGTTATTACAAATTTATTTTCAAAACAGTTCTATATCAGAGTATCCCAGAAACATAGTTAAAAATGTGAGGAGTTGTACGATCATGCCTTTGCATTCCTACGATAATCTCAGGTACCTGAAACTAAAACTGAAACTGTAAGCCCGAAGCTTAGCGAGTTCCCCCAAAATACCGATACACAGAAAATAATACATATACAAATAACAATATGTAAGGGGTCCACAACTTTACATACTGGATTATCACTAGGCCCACAGTGTGATTCTGGCTTGCCTTCCGGGCCCACATCTCACATCTGGCTTGCCACTAAGCCCACAGTACGAGTCTGGTA